AAGTACAAAAAAAAAAAAAAAAAAAGGCCACAAGTTCCTTGCACCATTTCAGGGGAACTCCAGTCTGGATTCCTGTGAACCTCCGAAGGAACAGCAATATAAGAGCTCTTAGAATGTAGTGTAGTTTTAGAATAAAGTAATGGTCATATCCTATCTATTAATAATTTCAAAGTTCCAGAGATAAGAATTATAAGACACTTATTTTAGGCTTTTTTGAGAGTGACACTAATGCATTCATATAATTATTGATTCATTGATTCAACAAAAATTGATCCGATGCCTATTATGTACCGGGCATGGTATTAGGTGCTAGTGAGACCGTGGTGAGGCACTGCTGCCCCCGCCCTCATAGGTCTTACAGTCCAATGGACTGAATCATGGAATGGGATGGAGCATGATTTGGCCATGTGATAATTCTGAATATTTAGACTTCTCTTTCATGTTCCTTCACAGATCGTCTAGTAATGTTGTGACAATAATAATAACAGCCAAAAAGAAAGTATCTGCATACATTCTCGTATCTGAGTTGTTCCTGACCTCAACCCTCTCTCCCCACCTCTCAGATTGTAAATTTCTTGAGAACAAACCAGTCTTACTCATTTTGTATTCTCTACAAAATTGTTGCCTCCATAGCTAACAAATTGTATACAGCTTGTATACAATTGAGCTTGTATACAGAAGCTCAATATTTTGTGAACTTTGTGGAGACAACATTAGCCCTAGCTGTATGACCAAAATAATGATGGCTGATTTCAGGCTCCTGATATCTTCACCTCCAAAGCACACTGCAACATAATAAGGTAGTATCTGTACCACAGATTGGAAAACATATCTTTAAAATACCATATTGACCCAATCATAATTCTCCCGATTTCATTGTTTAAATGTGGCCCCTTTATATGGAAGTTCTTTACTAATCCTGCAGTGAGTGTAATTCTAAAATACACGAGATTTACTTGTATGTCCACGTGTGTCATTTGTGGATGCACACCTGATGCTGTATATGAATGTATATATGTATAACTCTATGGCCTGTTCTTGACTTCTGTAGATACCATATTCAAAACAGAAGTATCTAGATTGGGGTAGGGGGTGGAGAACAACTGAGGTAGTTGTTGGAGATATTTAAGTAACAATCATGAATGGTATCATCTTGCCAATTGGAGGTCTCTAAATCAGAATTGATGTCCCTGGGTGGCACAAATGGTTAAGTCTTCGGCTGCTAAATGAAAGGTTGGCCATTTGAGTCCGCCTAGAGGCACCTCAGAAAAAGACCTGGCAATCTACTTCCAAAAAATCAGCCACTGAAAACCCTGCAGAGCACAGTTCTCCTCTGACACACATGAAGTCATCCGGAGTCAAAGTCAACTAGATGGCAACTGGTTTGGTTTCCTTTTTTTTTTTTTTTAATCAGAATTAGGCATTCAGATTCAGCGACATAAAAAAACCCTACTATGTGCTAGGTCCTGGTCATAGGTTATTTCATTCATACTTTACAATCAGTTTTTGATGGAGGTATTACTAGCCAAAACTGAGGACCAAAGAGCTCAGAGGATTCCCCAATGTTTCACAGCCTTCAAGCCGCATGTCTTTGTATGATATCACGATATATCCATTTTGAACATTTAACTGAGCTAGGAGATTTTTTTTTTAAAAAAAAAACTCTCCAAGCACTCTCTGCTGATCTGGAGTTGCTGGTTCTCTAAGGTCCAGTAAGCCTTGGCCTTGCTTTCCTGAACTTTGTGTTTCAGTTGCATATCAAGCGCTGATGCCACGGGAGCAGCAGTGGGTGGCTCTGTTCCAGGCGGGCGCGCTCACATTGCTCTGACATGCCTGGTGAGTCTGCTGTTCACGTGAAACAATGCTTGGCAAGACCAGAGGCACCAACACAATCATTCTTCCTGATTAATGCAGAGTTTTATGTCCAAGGTTAGAAGCTGCCAGAAGTGGGAGAGTAGGAGAAATAATCTATAAAGTCTGTGGTCACCAAAATGCAAGCAGCTCTCCTTTCAGCCACTGACTTGCAGCCAGGCAGACTCCAGTGTACCTGTCCTGTGACTCTAGGCAAGTTACTTGCCTTCTCTGAACAAGGGTTTCCTTATCCAGAAAATGGGGGTAACAAACCTTCCCTCAGACAGGCGCTGGGACTGGAGATCATATATGAAAAGAACTGGATACACTGACCTAAACAAAAGATTATCATTGTTATTGTTGTTGTTATAACAAGAATAGTTAGTACGAGGAGCATGAGTAGTATTACCTCTGCCATGCGTCTCTCCATCAGGTGGACTGTCACAGTTCTGACCTGCCCAGCCCTGACTTCCAACAACTGTCACTCCCCCACTCTGCATTCTTTCACTACCGCCCACCTCTTCTTCCTCCATTCTCCTCTAGCAAAAATCAAACCTGATGAAACCTTCAAGTGTCCCTAGATCAGGTTGCCTTGTTCCGGTGAATCAAGAACCAGGTACTTGAATGAGTACCAGGTGCAGATGAGGAAAGCTGAAAGCATGACAGCGGGTGGTAAGTGAGTCAAGGGAGCTGGTGGGAACTGTACCTGACCTAGCCCCTCTATTGTCCTTGGGTCACACCTTGTCCTAAACTTCCCAGATCAAATGAGTTTCAATGTTGTGTTTCAAACACTTCACTTTCCCTCAGTAACCACATTCAATATCTAACAGTTTCTACTCTTAAAAACTATCTGATCCTAAACTCCATTTAGACAACCTAGTTCTCTGTTCCCTTTATTTCACTGACATCTCACTTTTTCACTAAAGTTAATACCCTGCACTATCAAGAAACTTGTTATTTTCCATTTTTATGAATTATCCCAAAGGCACGTGTTCCTGAGGATTTATACTTTTCTGTACTCATGCTCATTCCATTATTTTTAGGTTTCCCCATAACTTTCATTATTTGTCTCAGGAAGCATACAGTATTTTTATTTACCCTCTCTTAGATGAGATTTTGGTTTAACATGCCCCCCAAAATCTTCAGAATGAACCCATACCCAGACAGTGTCACAGTTGGAGGAGCTGATGCCTGATATCAATCATTTTGAGGTTTATTCTAGTTTTTACCAACTTTGGAGACAAAAAAGTAAAGGCTGAGAGAGAGCGTGAATAGAGTAAAAGACTCTGTTCTGGCCTTAAAAACCTCCAGGCTTTTGGAGACTGGAGAAGATGGGGGAAACAACAATTCTTGAATGCTTACTGTATGCAGGCATTTTACAAACTCATTTAACTGTCCTGTGAAGTTGGGATCCCACTTCACAGAGAAGGAAGTTAAGGCTCAGAGAAGTAAAAATGCCTTGGTCAAGATTATGTGCTTAGGAAGCACCAGAACTGAGCTACCATTCTTCCCAATATCCCTGGATGGACTCTAGCGCTCAGTCATTCACTAGCCGCATGATTTTTTGGGAATCCCCTCACCCTTCTTACCTCAATTTCCTCACCCGTAAAGTAAGAGGCTGGATTTCCTATTGCAGGTTTAACATTCTGTGAGCATCAAGAGTGTTGCAAGCATGACTAGGAGGATTGGCTGTTTATGAGCCAATCAGACGTTTTGAATAAACACCTCCCTACTAGGCCAAGGTGCAAAGGGGAAGGCAAAAGTTAAAAAAAAAAAAAAACACCACTTCGATGAGAACTCTATAAAAACTGTACGTTCCAGTAGATTGGTCCTGTTTGGCAGCTGCTGTCTCACCCACAGCTTCTGACGTCTAAGAGGTCTCTCCTCTCCCAAACTGTAAGTGAAAGAACTTGCTTTGTATGCCTGGCCTGCATCTAGGTGTACGGCATTCAAGAGGGCACTAAGCCTGCTCTGGGGGAAAGGTGTGTTTGCCTTTGTGTTCTGCTGGGGGAAAAACCTGATGGCAGCTTTCGATCTGCTGAGACGTGCATGCTCACTCAATTCACCCCTGGCTCTTTGAGAAGTAGCAAAATACTCGAGACTGACCGCCAGTTGCCAGTGTTATGAGTATGATGGCACTTTTGAGACTTTGGACTAGGAAAAGCAACTTGAACATTCCTATTCAGTCAGGTTTTTGTTTTTTCTTCAGATTTTGAGATTCCTGATCATTTGTATTTTCTCTTTCCATTATTGCTGCTAGCTGCTATCCAGTTAGCCCCCAACTCATGGCAACCCCATGCACAATGAAATGAAACTCTGCCGGGTCCTGTGCCATTCCCATGATTGGCTGCAGACTCGGCTGTTGTGATCCATTAGGTTTTCACTGGCTGATTTTCAGAAGTAGATCGCCAAGCCGTTCTTCCTAGTCTGTGTTAGTATTAAAGTTCTGCTGAAACCCTGTACAGCATCATAGCAACATGCAAGCTTCCACTGACAGACAGGTTGGCTGCACAAAAGGTGCAATACCAGAAATCTAACTCAGGTATCCTAGATAGAAGGCGAGAATTCTACCACTAAATCACCAATGTCCCAGTCTCTCATAACGACTACTTATTTCAATGATTTATTTACATGTCTATTGCCTTACGTCATTTTCTTCATTCTCTTCCCACACCTGTTGGTACTAGCACAGAAGTTTCTTTGTCACAGAAATGAACTCTTGGCGCGCTTTGCCCTTTACCTTCACCCACTGCTCAAATGAGAAAGTGAAATCGGCATGGAAACTTCAGAGCATAGTCATGATTTGATTATGAATTTTCAAACCTACCCTTGTTTGATATATCCTATAACATTTCCTACTGGCACCAAACAGTTTGAAGACCCTACGGCTTAAGATATTAGGAATTGAAAGCTGCCAACTTGTTTGGATACATTTGTTCTACTCTCTGAAAAATAGCTGTGTTGTAAGGACATGTTGCCTTTTTAACTTCTCTTCAAACAGTTACCTAAGCCAGTTGATGTCAAGTCCATTATGATTACTTCCGAAAAATCAACCATTGAAAACCTTATGGAGCACAGTTGTATTCTGACACACATGAGGTCACTGTGAGCTGAAATAGTTACCTAGGGCTCCATTAGCCAATTTGGATGCGGCAGGGCTGTGCTCTGCTATCCTGGTATTCATCACGTTAGCCAAGGCTCATCTGGGGAACATCCAGGTCTAAGCTAGAACCTGAGGAGACATGGACAGGGAATGGGTGCATTACTGTACACCTCGGAATTCCTCTGGCTTAGTTACCAGTTTAAAGGAAAGAGCAATGCTCAGGTCTCTTTCTGGGCTGCTCCACATGTGTTCAAAGGCTCCAGGGATCAGGCTGCCCTAGAGCTGCCCTAGAGCACCTCACTCCACCTGTCATGGTGGAGTTTGTGGGTAATGAAGTGGTGGGCATCTTCATGCATCAATATATAGAACTGCTGCACTCACGTCCGGCAATCATAGGCTTTCAACGAATAAACCTCTTCATGTCTCTCTTCTTGAAAATCCATCTGCCTTGTACATGGAGAAGCAAATGGACTCTGTTGCCTAATATTTTTCCAGAAGTTAAATATCTATACTTTAGAAATTATCTTTTCACAGAACCTCTTCTAGGAGGGCAGAGAGAACCAGACTGTAGGGTTCCATATGTTATTTTGCTGAAGAAGGATTCCAAGTCATAAACCAGTAGGTTGTAACTTAGAGTCCTAGAACATCACAGCTTAGAAGGGGCATCAGACATATTCTCCCTGGGCCTGTTTCCTCAATTCTAAAGTGGCAGGGTTGGTACAGATATCTCTGAAGTCCCTTGTTGCCCTATTTTTCTCTGGTTACATTGTCTTCATACATGTTCACACTCACAGCTTTCCCCCAGATTGCATATATGTCACCTGTCACTAATCTATACTATATCTATACCTGTGTCGATGTCTGTATCTATCTGCTCATTAAGAAATCAAACATTACAAAAAATGCATAAAGGAAATGTGAGACTCGCTCTACCGCATCCCATTCCCCAAACATAACCCTGGGGAAGGAGGGGTGGGGGTGTTTCTCTGCTTATATAGACACACAAACAATATATATGTATACTACTTTTTAGTTTAAAAAATAGGATTATATGCATACTTTTCTGAAACTTCCTTTTTCCACTTAATAATATAATGTGAACAACTTCCTATTACACTTAAAAAAAAAAGTTGGTCCAAGACCTCAGTGAGCAGAGGCATAGGGGCACAAAAACCATTCTCTATCCTTACCTGCTCCTACGGGCCCCCTGTCTCCTAGTGGTGAACATTGGTCTGTGACCCTGTTTTATGATTAACAGAGCAGCAACGTTTGTGCTGATGTGGTACAGACCTTTAATCCTTCTGTAGAAGTTTAACTTCCTGTAAACAGCATTAGTTCAACTTGACCTTTCCTCTGTTGTTCTGGTTAAGTCAGCACAAATAGACTGAAGGGAATAGCTTGGTAGTAAGTAGAAACGTGGAAGTCTCTTCAGTAATTGTTTTTCAAAAAAATTATAAAAGAGAAAAATAGTAATACCTTGCATTTTCATAGTGCTTTATAAAGCATCTTAATGTTTACCATGCAATTCAACAAATATATTTTAAGCAACTATGATGAACCAAGTGTTCACAGTCTCATTTGATCCACTTGGCAATGAGACATCCAGAGTGGATATTACCACCATTTAATCCCTAGTAAACTAAGACTCAGAGAAGTTACTTGACTTATCCAAGATCCCAGCTAGGGGGAGGCAAACTCGTGCAGGGACCCAGTTCTGTCGGACTAGCAGCAAACCTCTATGGAATATTATGTTAGATGTTTATGAGTTGGTAGTGTCAGTGTTGTGGGGATAAAGATTCACAACCTGAGGCACTCTGGGAGTGCCATCAAGGACGTTAAGAGTCATCCAAACGCTGATTCCTTTTGCCAAGCTCACCCTTTCCTTGAATAGAGGGGAGTACTGCCCCTGATCCCAGCTTTGTGCCTTCTTAGCTATGTGTCCTTGGACAAATAATTTAAACTCTTATATAGTCTTTCCTTATCTATTAAGTAGAGGGGAAAAAACAAGCACAGGTGCCTACTGGGAATAAATTACATAATGCATGTAAAGAAATTAGCAGAGTTCTTAGCACTAAATGATAATTTGTTGTTATTATTATTGAGCTATTTTTTCCTTTTGTTTCATTAAGGAAATGTCTTTACTGTTTGGTAATTGTCAACTCCCTTGTGCAAATACCTAAACTGAGAGAGAAAATTTGCACCTTGGCCTAAAGGTCACCACTCCTAGGTTGGCTTTTATTAGTATGATCCTGGAGGTCAGGTACAAAGCTAAAAATCCCTGCCAAAAACATTAGGAACTAGTATTCAAAACAGGACAAATGTTGCCTGCAGATGGATTGTAGGGGCTCTTAAAAGATCATCTTTTCCAGAAATCCTTGCTTACTATCCTGCCCTAGTACCGCAATGATACCATTGTCATGCCATTCTTTTGGGTTAAGACAAGAACCACTGTCAAAGTGGACTGTAGCAACAACGAGGTCATCAGTTACACCTTCTCATGAATTAGTTTAATAGCCATCAACTCCTTATATCAAGGGACAGGGTACTGAGCACCTACCTTGAAAGGATTCAGAAAATGTGAAGAAAGGATTTGTCATGAGGGGCCAGACTCTACATTATCCTACCTGGGACCTTGGGCAAGTCAGTTAACTTCTCTAAGTCTTAGCTTATTCATTCATTTATGAAGATAAACTGCCCTGGTTACTACATTGCCAAGGGGGTAAAATGAGAGCTGGGGTGTCCTTGGGCTTCTAGGAAGTAGTATGCAGGCATGGAGCATCCATCCTGTGTATGAGTGCATGGTGGAAGGGTGGGTGTTGGGAAAGGAGGAGGCCATGGGATTGGATAGGAGACTACTCAAGATAATCTTCACTACCAACTTTTTTCTTTGATAGCCTAACCTATGGAAAATTTACTCCTTCCAACATCCAAGATGAAAGTCCTGTAAGCTTGCATTTTTAATACTAACCCAAAGTGGCCAGCACAACAGAGACAATGATCCCATTCAGAGAACCCACTGCTGAGAAGACTGCTTGGGTGGGGAGTCTTTGAGCCAGAGTCTCTCCTTCCTGAAGTAGCAAAGCTGAGAATTACTGGAGCAGGGATCACTATATTGATTTCAGCATCCTCAGAGGCCATGGACCTATCACCCCACCCCTGAGGGACTGAGCAAAAATCTTCCTGGGTCTGCCCCACATGGTCTCATAGGAGGCTGAATATAAGAAAAAGGAGCCTTGCACTCCACCTCTCTGGCCCAAAGCTGAAGAAAAGTAACTTTGAAGCCGAATGTAGGTTCCTCCTCCCAAACTTGGTGCCTGGAGAGTGATCTGGTGGGACTAGAGGCTAACGGAGCAAGTAGAGGATAGCCACAGAGGTCAAAGTCTCACTGTCCTGGCCTCAAAAAATCCAGGCTAGATGGCACCAGGAATCCAAACAATAGAGAGATAGTCATTTACTGCAGTTGCCTCTATTTGCCGGATTCAAGTCGGTCATTCATTAGCTGGCTCAGTCTCAGGATCAGTGATCCCAAAACTCTCCTGGAAGGCATTCTATTTAGGATCACCATGAACATTTGACATCCCATCTTCATCCATTATGGCTAATTGCAACTACTTAGTCTGTATGTCTGTGTATTGAGGAGGAGGGTGGAGAAACCAGGCCTCATTTACTTATCAGGCCCAGGTAATGGGCCAGAAGTATTGGAGGGGCCTGCACATCTTCTCTGTATACTCTTGCTGTCTTGGTAGTGAATCTATTTGAGTGTGTGACTCTGTGAACCACCCACAGTTCTGTTCGTGACTCTTCTGAACTCTTTTTCAGACCTCTCACCATGGCCCACCAATTTCCAGCCCTCACTCCAGAACAGAAGAAGGAGCTCTCAGAAATCGCCCAGCGCATTGTTGCAAATGGAAAGGGGATCCTGGCTGCAGATGAGTCTGTGGGTGAGTGTAAGAGACAGTCACAACATACAACAAGCATACTCTTGTTTCTACACTTAGCAAAAGCAACTTGGTAATTACATTCTCCTTCATCTCTGAGCAAGTGAGAGTTTATGTACACAGTAGTGGGACAAGAAGACTTGGTAAGCACAGATCTTTTCAATGTAAACCCATTAGGCAGATTCCTGAAAACCATAGCAAGAGGCTCAAGCTCTCATTGTTAAGGCCCCTTGTCTTAAATCAGGGCTGTCGCAATGCCAGACACTCAGTGACCAGGATGAGGACTGATATACAGCCATTTGCTGCTAATGAAAAGTCAGGTTAAAATCAGCCAAGTCAGGGAGGGCAGGGAAGTATCTGCATCTGGAACAGGGCAGAGCTTGTGGCTGAAAGAATCCCAGCTTTCACAAGGGAGAGCTGTGGTGGGCTTGCACAGACTACCATAAAAAGGTGAAAAGCCAGAGAAGTCAAGAGCCTGCCCAACCTCTCTTTTTGCCATGTGTGTACCCAGTCAGATTGGAGACTGAGCCAGAGAAAGGTAGAGAGAAATGAAGGCCTTTCATACGCAGTTGGACCCATTCATTGGTGGCTTCCACCTTGATCCCTGCATACCTAGCCAACACACTGGGCATTTTCCAACCACCATCCTGACAAAAATCAAGGCTTTTCTACCAGCGGACAACAAAAAGAGGCAGGAGCTTTGAAGAGCTGAATTAAAAAAAAAAAAGAGTCTTGTTTTCTATCGTGGTGGGGTCACTGAGATAGTGTGGAAGAGGGGGAAAGGAAAGTCCCGCTTGTCCTCACACTGCCTTTGGCCCACCCACCTTAGGCACCATGGGAAACCGCCTGCAGAGGATCAAGGTGGAGAACACCGAGGAGAACCGCCGGCAGTTCCGAGAAATCCTCTTCTCTGTGGACAATTCCATCAACCAAAGCATCGGGGGTGTGATCCTTTTCCATGAGACCCTCTACCAGAAGGACAGCCAGGGAAAGCCGTTCAGAACCATCCTCAAGGAAAAGGGGATCGTGGTGGGAATCAAGGTGAATACTTCCATGCATGTCTCACCTCAGCCTCACCTCAGGCGCGCTCCCAGCACACTGGCTGGGCAGGACCAACACTCCAAACATTCTTATCATCTAATTTCTGTTCTCACTCTTTCTTCTTCTTCTAGAGTTTTCTTCTAGTGTCCTCTTCTTTCAACCAAGTTTGCCTCAAAGTACTTAATCTCTCAACATCTCAATTTCCACATTTCTAAAATGGAAATAATGGTACATACCACATAAATTTCTTTTAAGGATTAAATAACTTTAAAAATAGTTCCACCACATAATAACTGTTCAATTAATGATAGCTATTATTATTAAAGTATCGTCTGTTCTATCTTGTAACTAAGTCTAAATAAACTTCTCCATGTAACTAATACTGCATAAACTTCTCAAGACTAAAAAGTAGGATTTGTTGGGTGTTTACAATGCCAAGAACTCATTTAATTCTCACAACAACCTCAGGAAGTAGACTCAATTATTATCCTAACTGTAGAGATGAGGTGAAAAAACTGAACTACAAGAGGTGACATAACTTGCTCATGGTCAGTGAAAGGTGGAGATGGTTTAAATCCAGGCTTTTTAACTCTTGGGACCTCTGCCATGCTAAGGGTAGAGATTGCACCCTCATTCTCTAGACCTCCTGTAATAACATTCTCTAGACTTCCTGTAATAACACAGTGCACAGTACATACAGGTGCTCAATAAATGTCTCTTGAATAAATGAATGACTGAAAGGAACCTGCTGTTATTCTGCACTCTGCATCCCAGATACTGTTTGATTGCTTCTTACTTTCTAAGCTCTGTTGTTGTTATGAGTCGATTCTGACTCATAGCGATCCTGTAGGAAAGGGTAGGACTGCCCCAAAGGGTTTCCAAGGAGAGTTGGTGGATTTGAACTGCCAACATTTTGGTTAACAGCTGAGCTCTTAACCATTGCACCACCAGGGCTGTGCTTTCCATACTTTCCATACTCCTAGGGTTGAATCTCTTGCATTGCTCCTTCCAGGTAACTTCTGTTCTTAATTCAACTCCTTGGTTTGTGAAAGATGAGAGCTATCAGTACCAGGAGTTCTGCCTGTGTTTTCTTTAAAACCTAACACCTGCTAATTATTTGCTAATGATTTGTTTTCACAGTTAGATCAAGGAGGTGCTCCCCTTGCAGGAACAAATAAAGAAACCACAATTCAAGGTAAGGATATTGCCCACTGATATGTCATGCCAACATATGCTAGAAATGAAGGCAAGCAAAGAAGTGAGGAAGAGAAAACAAAATGTGAACTTACACTGGCTTTAGAGCCACACACACCTGGTTTTGAATCCCAGCTCCTCCATTTAATAAATGTGTGACTTTGGGAAAAATCACTTAGATGTTCTGAGTCTAAGTTCTCTTATCTTAAAATAGGACAACAATATCTACTTTGCAGAGTTAATTGTGTGGATTAGACTAGATAAAATCCAAAAAGGGATTACCACAGTGCTTTGCACAAAGAAGGTGTGCTGTACCCGAAACTAATATTTTTAGAGAAAAATTTAGCAGCAATAGAGAGAAAAGGCTCCAGGCTTTGGGTTCAGATGCACGTGGGTTTGAATCCTAGTTCCATCACTTAACAACCTAAATTATTTTGCAGGATATTTCACTGTCTAAGAAGACCGTTGTTAACTACAGCATTGCATTAGCTAATCAGAATTTTAATTCCAGCTCTGTCACTGTTTAGCCATATAAACTTGGTAAAGTCACTTAACCTCTTGAAGCCTCAGTTTCCATATCTGTAAAATTAGTGTAATATTAACTATTTGGGTTGCTATGGTAATTAAATGAGATCAAGTATGCAAAATGCCTAGACTTACGCCTGGAACTTAGCAGGCACTAAAAAAAATATTAGTTCCCTCCATTCTACTTATGGAGTATCCACTATGTACATCAAACCCATATTTATTCCATCCAGGTCTCCTGGCCCAGTATTGTGATTAATGTTTTTTGGCTTGAGCATTTTCAGTCTTCAAGCTCTGTTGACAGAAAGCTAAGAGAGACCCTTTACTATGGCAGAGGCCTGGTGGATCAGGGACAGGGACTCAAAGAAGTTTTTCTTTCTTTTCTGACTTGCAGGGCTTGATGGCCTCTCTGAGCGCTGCGCTCAGTACAAAAAGGATGGTGCTGACTTTGGGAAGTGGCGTGCTGTGCTGAGGATCGCCAACCAGTGTCCATCCAACCTCGCTATCCAGGAGAATGCCAATGCCCTGGCCCGCTACGCCAGCATCTGTCAGCAGGTGCTCTGCCTTCTCCTAGGGCTAAAAAACAGTAGACGAGCACTTCTTTTGGAGTCCCTGAGTGGTGCAAATGGTTAAGTGCTTGGCTACTAACCAATAGGTTAGCAGTTTGAGTCCACCTAGAGGCTCTTCAGAAGAAAGGCTTGGTCATCTACTTCTGAAAAATTAGACGTTGGAAACCCTATGGAGAACTCCAGTTCTACTCTGGAGTTCTACTCTGGAGATCATGTACAGTTCATGAGTCAGAGATGACTCAGTGGTAACTGGACTAGACTGGAACACTTTCTTCAGAGCCTGTCTTTCCAATTTACTATTGTTATACATTGGCCTTCCTCTTACCTTTCCACTATATCTTGGTGGCATTTCTCACTGTTTTTGCTGTAGCCAGGCATGGTAGGGAGAGAACTGGTCCTGCAAGCCAGTGTTCCAATAAGCCACGAGCAAAAGGTCAATACCTACAGTCAACTCACTATAAAGTTGAGTATTAAAAGTGATCAGGCCCAGGACAGTTGCTTCTCTAGGTTCCATAAAGTCCAAGACATGATCCTCTTAGCCTTCTAGCTGAAGAGTGATAGTTCTGACCTACTCCCAATCCAAACACTTTCTGGGAGATTGGTGACTCAATGTCAGAGGCTTCCAACATGTGTCGAAGAGTCTTGGGATCCAACTCAAATCTCATTTGCTTCTGTGGGGACTATGTAGGGGTTACTGGACTTGTGGGAATCTGAGATTTCCAATTAGAATTGTAAGCACTGCTCAAAATCTTTAATCCACACAGGGGGCATCATTGCCCTTAAATGGGTGGCAGCTAGGTTCTTGGGGTAGCTGGAATAGTCTCTAGAATAAAATATAGAAATTAAAGGTTTGTATTTTTTTAACCCCATTCCTTTTCAGAAATAACTATTCTTGCCTCACTTTTTTTTTTTTTTTTCCTTTTTTTGGCTAAGCCACAAATGCTCAGTAGATATCCCATCAAATTTCTTTTCACTGTCTTTAAGTCCCCTATATAGTATTTTTCCATAAAAAGCCAAAAAACCCATTGCCACTGACTCAATTCTGACTAATAGCAACCCTATAGGACAGAGCAGAACTGCCTCATAGGGTTTCCGAGGAGTGGCTGGTGGATTTGAACTGTTGACCTTTTTGATTAGCAGCCAAGCTCTTAACTACTGGGCCACCAGGGCTCCATTTCTCCATAAGGGCTTAATTTTATATGAATTGAAACTGTTGAATCTCCTGCTACGGAAAGGATCATAGAGAGCACGACTTTACTTTGGTCCCCCTTTTTTCCTTTTAGAATGGGATGGTACCCATCGTTGAACCAGAAGTCATTCCTGATGGAGACCATGACCTGGAACACTGCCAGTATGTTACTGAGAAAGTAAGTCTTGAATATAAAAGTCAAAAATCCCGTTGAAAAGTTTTCTTTTTAAGTAACAGCTGTTATGACTAATTTATGTTTGGAATGTTCTTCAAGTTAGAATCATAATGTAGCATTGAGAAGCTAAGGAGGTGTTTATCAATCCTTCCACTTTTTTGGCACATGGTATGCTCTTATGGAAAAAGCGCAGGGTTTGCCGTAGCAACACTTGGCTTGTAGGACCTTAGGTAAGTCATATTATCTTTCTGGACCCTAGTTTTATTATATGTAAACTACAAAATTTAAAAATAAGATCTGAGGCTCACATGAGAAAAATATTACAAAGTACTTTGTTCACTTCTGATTTTCTAAATTTGCCACGGTACCTGAAAGAGGGTGGTTTCCCTCACACACGTGAGAGAGTAAGAAAGTCATAATGTAGATTAACCTCGGTTTCTTCCCTTGCAAACTTAGGTAGATTGAAATGAGCTTTTAAAGCACTTCTGTCTCTAAAATGTACATTTTTATGACCACTCTATTGCATGAGGAGCCCTGGTGGTGCAGTGGTTAAAACATTCAGCTGCTAACGAAAAGGTTGGCGGTTCGAATCTACCATCTGCTCCACAGAAGAAAGATGTGGCAGTCTGCTTTCATAAAGACTTACAGCCTTAGAAACCCTATGGGGCAGTTCTACTCTGTCCTATAGGGTGCTATGCGTTGGAATTGACTTCACGGCAGTGGGTTTTTTGGTCTATGGGATGGAGAGTGGAAGTCAGTTTAGATGTCCCCAGCTAAACCAAGGCAATCTCAAAAGGAAGTGACATTAACCAAAGGGAGTAATGGGAAAGAAGGAGTGTAGGCCTCTAGGAAGCAGGGCCATGTCAACAGCCCATGCAGTGGAGCAGCTAGTGTAGAGGTGGTGGGGATAAGCCAGCTTGATTGTGCTCAGTGGCTATGGTTTGCAATGCACTGCCCTGATGAAGCCCCATGACTGGCTGGGAAGCTCTGGCTAAACAATATATGGGCATTCCTTCATCCCTGTGTGTAGGAGTGCCAAGGTAATGCAAAGTCTGTCTCTAGGTTTCACCTGTTTGAGTTTCTTGTCCCTCAGGTCCTGGCTGCTGTCTACAAGGCCTTGAATGACCATCATGTTTACCTGGAGGGTACCCTTCTTAAGCCCAACATGGTGACTGCTGGACATGCTTGCACCAAGAAGTATACTCCAGATCAAGTGGCAATGGCTACCGTCACAGCTCTCCACCGTACTGTTCCTGCAGCTGTCCCTGGTAAGGCCTTTTTTCTTCTCTAATTTAAAGTCTGAGCCCTTATCCTTTGAAGGAGTACCACAAGCATTTGTGTTTGTCCAGGAGTTGGCTTCTATCCACGAAGCAGTCTATCTCACAGGCAATTAGCCCTACCCCTCTCGCTCCAAATGCTCACAGACAATCGATTTATTTCCTCAAAATTTTACTTCCCTCTTTATTTATTAAAGCCCTTCTCTCCTTAGCTCAATGAGCCACAGCAAAAGCAAACTCATTTCTCTGACCCAGAGCCCCATGCAAATCAAGCAGAGAAAAGATTGAGACATGCCATTTGTTTTAGGTTCACTGCTTGCTTTCTCAAGCAGGGTATGTAAACGGGGACTAGTAGAATGTAATGACTTCTCTCCTTCCAGGCATCTGCTTCTTGTCTGGTGGCATGAGTGAAGAGGATGCTACTCTCAACCTCAATGCTATCAACCTTTGCCCTCTACCAAAGCCCTGGAAACTAAGCTTCTCTTATGGACGGGCCCTGCAAGCCAGTGCACTTGCTGCTTGGAATGGCAAGGCTGCCAACAAGAAGGCAACTCAGGAGGCTTTTATGAAGCGGGCCCTGGTAAGATGCTATTACCTCTTATCTGCTTGGTCAAGTTAATACTTGGAGCTGACTCTCCCACATAGGGATATAATGGGGTTTTTTTAGGCCATAAAGGAATCTTCAGATAGTGTCTACTAGATATTTGAAAATGTAGCATTAGAGTTCCATATAAATATTAGGACTAGAGAGAGTTTTGAATTATTCACATTGGGAGTATAGTTGATGACAATAGATTGAAGGACAATTCCAACAAAGATAATTTCAGAGGGAAGGGGACTAAGGACTGAATCTGGGACACCATTCATTTTGGGAAGAGGAGAAGCCACCAAGAAAATCAGTCATAATATGATAGGATGAACCAAAGATTCTACGACAAAATAGAAAAAAGTTTTAAGGAATCTTCTACAGAGAGATTCAACAACAAAGGCTGAGGAAAGGTGCTAGGATTGGCGTTTAGGAGCATATCCTTGAGCCTCAACAAAACAGTTTTCAATAGAGAAAGAAGAGGAAAGGTGCACATTCAAAAAGTTTGTCAGGAAAAGATCTAGAAAAGTTAACAGGAGAAACGAGTCCTAAAAAGGTTTTATTCAATTACTAACCATTACTTTTTGAAAACCTACTATGAGCCAAGCAGTGGGGTGAACAACTCAGACACAGACTCTGCCCTTAGGGAGCTAAGAGTTTAGTCAAATACAAGTGAGCTGGATGTGTTTCAATATAAAGCAAAAGATTAAAGGTGAGGAGAGTAGGCAAAATTGAAGGGACAGGGACTTACAGGAAAAAGATTGCATGAGACGAAATATTAAATACAGGTCTTAGAGATGGTCTTAGAAAGGAGGAAAGAGAAAACGAGAAAGAGAATGGGTTTGGGATTAGTTTTGTAGAGATGAAGAGATGTACAGCTGATCACTGATTAGAGTTGAGGGAATCTGTTGAGAATGAGAAGGCATGGAGATTTCAATCCTAACAGCGGGGAAGGCTAGAAAAGCTGTTGAAAGAGTCAGCTAGGAAATTGACCAGACATTAAGGCCAGACATTACCACAAAGCACCAGGCAAGGTGCAGCTGAAATGAGAGCTTGAGTTTCTGATACATTAGCTAAGTTCCTGAATTTTCCTAACAGCTCTTTTAAGCATGCAGAAAGATTCAGATAAATCTTAACAGGAAATAGCAGGGTTAAGAGTAAAAGTTTAATAGGGAGCTGGAAGAACACCTAATTTTAGTGATAGCCCAACTTAGCTTAGAGAATGCTGGGCAAGGAATCCAGTGTAGTCAGAAGTTTGGTGATGAGGCACTAAAGGAAAGAAAGGCCCCTGGAAAGCTCAAAAATAATTTAGGGCCATAAGAAAGGCATGAGATTTTAGGGATGGATGAATACCAGAAAGATGTTTACCTGTGTTTTATTGGCTATGCAAAGGCATTCAGCCATGTGGATCATGACAATTATGGATAACATTGTGAAGAATGGGAATTCCAGAACACTTAATTGTGCTCATGCGGAACCTGTACATAGACCAAGAGGTAGTCGTTTGAACAGAACAGGAGATACTGCATTGTTTAAAATCAGGAAAAGTGTGCATCAAGGTTGTATCTTTTCAAGATACCTATTCAGTGTGTATGCTGAGCAAATAATCAGAGAAGCTGGGCTATATGAAGAAGAGCATGGCATCAGGATGGAAGGAAGACTTCCTTAACAACCTGCGATATGCAGATGATGCAAATTTGCTTGCTGAAAGTGAAGAAGCTTGAAGCACTTACTGATGAAGATCAAAGACTACAGCCTTCAGTATGGATTACACCTCAAAAAAAGAAAACACAAATTCTCACAACTGGACCAATAAGCAACATCATGGTAAATGGAAAAAATATTGAAGTTGTCAAGAATTTCATTTTACTTGGATCCACAATCAAAGTCCATGGAAGCATCAGTCAAGAAATCAAACGATGTATTGCAGTGGGTAAATCTGCTGCAAAATACCTCTTTCAAGTATTAAAAAGCAAAGATATCACTTTGAGGACTAGGGTGCACCTGACCCAAGCAAAGAGATTTTCAATTGCTTCATATACACGCAAAAACTGGACAATGAATAAGGAAGACCAAAGAATTGATGCACTTGAATTTTGGTGTTGGCAAGAATATTGAATATACCATCGACTGCCAGAAGAATGAGCAAATCTGTCTTGGAAGAAGTACAGCCAGAATGCTCCTGAGAAGGAAGGATGGTGAGATGTTGTCTCATGTACTTTGGACATGTTATCAGCGGGGACTAGTCCCTGGAAAAGGAGATCATACTTGGTAAAGTAGAAGGTCAACAAAAAAGAGGAAGGCCCAATGAGATGGATTGACACGGTGGCTGCAACAATAGCCTTAAACATAGCAACAGTTGTGAGGATGGCGCAGGATTACTCAATGTTTCGTTCTGTTGTACATGGGGTTGCTATGAGTCAGAACCAACTTGATGGCACCTAACAACAACACCTTTACCTTGTGATGATGTAGAGTAGTGTATGGTATTGCTGGTGTGTGGCTGATGAGGTGGGGAGACATAGTTAAGATGATGGCAGGATTATGAAAGTAAGGGCTGAAGGACCATCCACAGAAGAGGAGAAGCAGAGTTTACTGTCTGCAGAGTGATTCTCAAGCTTAAGCATGCATCAGAATCACCTGAAGGGCTTGTTAAAACACAGATTGCTGGGCTCTACTCCCAGAGTTTCTGATTCAGCTGGTCTGGAATGAGGTCAGAATATTTCTACGTGTAACATGTCTCCAGGCATTGCTGATGGTCCATGAAACACATGTTGAGAACCACAGATCTAAGCTGTAGAAATAGATCCTGGAGAGAGCAGACAATAGCACTAGTGATTTGAAGAACTGGTACCACTGAGCGGCATTTGAATTTTATCATAAATTTCATAATTCTCAATTTACTTTTAACTGGAACTCACACATCAGAGACCGTGTGGCATAATGGTTAAGAGCTTGGCTACTAACTAAAAGGTCTGCAGTTCGAATCCACCAGCTGCTCCTTGGAAACACTACGGAGCAGTTCTACTCTGTCCTTTAGGGTTGCTATGAGTCACAATTGACTCGACAGCAATGGGTTTGGTTTGTTTTTTTAGGAACTCACACAGGGAATTAAATGATACTATAATTACAACTACATAAAAATTACTTATTCTTGTAGACAAATATAAGTAGAATATGGAAACATTTTTAAATAAAACACTATTTTTTTTGCTATACCAGTGAGATGTTTCTCAACCTTAATTTCAAGTACTGTTGTTGCAATATTGTTGGTACTAAGAAGGAAGTTTCCCAGTAACTGACACAAATGTCAGGTTTGCCAAAGAAATGCTCAGAAAACTGAGATATAAAAGGAATAACATATTATAAAAAGAAGGGGATGGTATCAGTGGCAGTATTCAGCAAAATCACTGTAAAGAAAAAATAATTCAAATGAAGGTATAGCTGGTTTCAGATAAGAAGCAGAGAGCATCAAGCACAGGGCTTGGATTTCCTCTAACTCCATCTCCTCTCTCTCCCTTGTTTTTCAGGCTAACTGCCAGGCAGCCAAAGGACAGTACGTTCACACGGGCTCCTCAGATGCTGCTTCCACCCAGTCGCTCTTCACCGCCTGCTATACCTACTAGGACCTACAGCCAGCCAGCCTTGGTCTAGCTCTTCTAGGTGTCTTAGTAGGAGAGCTGAAAAGGAACAATCTTTCAACTGACCCTGGAAATGAAACAAAATTAGATCAGAACTACTGGAAACAGAGTTCCATATTCTTAAACACAAGAAAAAGAAATCAGTTATTGAAACATACAAGCACAAATATCAAGGATTTGACAAACTTTCACACAACTCGTTTCTTGCAACTCTTTCAGCTTCCCACTCCCCAGAGTATTCATTTAAAGAAAATAATAGGCTTTAAAATAAAATCGGTTATCCATTCAAATAACAGCCACCAAACAAAACATCTCTCAAAAGCTGAGTTCAGAGAACTGCATCTTATCAAAAAATCTTAGTAGGTGATGGAGACAGCTGTAACTAAAGGAGAAAATATTCTATAAACCTTCAGTTGGTATCAGGTTTTAGTTTTCTGCTCTTCTTTTCAAAAGGCTCAGTATATTCATTACTTTTGACTGCCCTAGATATGACTGACATTAATGGTTAAGGTCCTTAACTTTGACTACTCATTGGAATCACCTGGCAACATTTTTAAAACCCATATGCTCAGGCCACACCCCAGCCCAATTAAATCAAAGACTCTAGACATGGAATCTGTTTTAAGTATTAGGATTACTTAAAGCTTTTTGGTGATTCCAATGTTCAGCCAAGTTTGAGATCTACCAACATATGTTTCAAGTTTTGGAATATTTAAAAAGTAAAGCCATTCATAATATGAAACAAGTTAAAATGTAGCATGATTTTGAGCAACATATGGAGTGTAATAAAAAAAGAGCAGTGTGACTTTAATGCTTGGAACATTCCTCTCCAAGTGTCCCAGGTGTGGTGATGCAGGACTACTACAACTTCCTCTACACATCCAATCACACTATCTAGTTTTGCAGCACATAATATTCACATAATTATACTTAATTGACTTTCGATTTTCAGAATTAACCTATGAAAAAACATTAAAAGCAAGCAGAGTTACAAAAGAGAATTTCAACGTTATGACCTTGGAAAATATAAAATGATTTAACTGACGGTAGCTGGGAAATACAAGGGGGAGAAGGAGTGGAGGAAAGCAAAGGAGGTACTAATTCACTTAGTGGGGAGTCAGAAATATTACTTAAAATTGATGAATTAATAAATAGTGTTTAAATCTATTAAAGCAATAAAGGAAATGAATATAAATCATTAAAATATACATATCTTTAATTAAAATATAGGCGAAAGTAATCGTAAAAATGGCGTCGGGGAGGCATCTGACCTCCTCTAACTTCACCAGGGGGAAGGAGAATCATGATCAATAGCCCAAGGCTGATTCCTATGAGACTCTCTCTGTCTCCTGATTCTCAGGGCGGGGATCCCAGGTCCAAAGGACATGCTGTGCTCTTGGCTCTTCCGCCTTGGTGCTGGTGAGATCCTCCCTTTCCCACCTCTGGGCTTTAAGCCTCAAGGGATGGCAAAACTAACCAATCCCTTTGTTAGGGTTCTATAAACCTTATTTGCACAGTCCTGCCAAATCACTTGGGTGAGAGTTAGAAGACCATGGCGAGAAAGCAAACACAAAAGCGATCCATCACATCGTAGTAATAAACTAAATTCCTGTCTTGAATAGTGCAGTTGCAAATGGTACCACTTAAAGCAGATACATTTTAAAATAGAGGCATAAGCATATTACTTATAGGAACAAAACAGAATTAGTCCAAAGAGGCTTCTTCTGAGAAGAAGGGCATGTAAGTGGGGCACAAGGAAAGGGACTTTTACTTATTATGTGCTCTCGACACTATTTGAATGTTTATTTCCACGTTCTTGTATTACTTTTCTAAGAACAACTATACGCATAGAAGAAATTCTAACCTACTTTGGAGATCATTTAGCCCAGGGCTTTCATTTAGCTGATAATAAAAACAAGCTTGGAGAAGTTAACTTAGTTGCTGAGGGTCACACATTTAGTGTAGAGCTGAGAAATTAGAATCCAGGTCTCTTTCTCATATAATGGGTGCATGGCCAGGCAGGAAGGTAAAGGTAGCACTCCAGGCAGTGTTCAATACCTCTGCACAGGTATTGCTGGTCTTCTACATTTCTTATTGCATTCATTTATTCAGTTAGTAAGGACTTGAATTCCTACCGGAGCCTTGGTGGCGCAGTGGTTAAGAGCTTGGCTGCTAACTAAGAAGGTCAGCAGTTTGAATCCACCAGCCGCTCCTTGGAAATCCTATAGGGCAGTTCTGTGCTGTCCTACAGGGTCCCTATGAGTTAGAATCAACTTGATGACAACGGGTTTGGTTTGATTAGTGGTTTGAATTCCTACCATGTGCCAAGTTGCCCTAGAAGCTGGTCACACTTTGTATGACAGAGCTCTTCTGCCAGAAAATCTTCATCTAGAGCTTACTCAGAATCCCTGAACCTATACTGTAAAGAATCTCTCAGATTCTCATTTATCAGTTGAGCATGAGTTTATAATCAAGGCTAACTTATTTATATTCCTTGGTCCAGGCTGAACTACCTTTCACTGGGGGTGAGGATTTACAAAACACATTGTCTCTGGCTATCATCTCATACATTTTCTGGACTAAAGGACTGCAGTTGCCTTTGAAATCTCAACCCCAGTAACTTCCTTTACTCAGGGTAATTTGAAGACAAGTAAGTTTTGAGGCTACAGACCTTAATTTCTATTAACTGTGTGGTCAATGAGTGAATATATTACAGGCATCCTGGCTTTAAGTACTTTGTCAACCTTATTCTAGTAGTTATTGAACACCTAGTAACAACAAAACCAGGAACTAGGCATGGAAAGTAATCAAAATAAGTTTTAGCTTTAGCACGGTAGCCATGGATCCTGCATACCAAACAGTTAAGTTTAAGTAGCTAAACAAGAAGCGTAAATGCCATTGACTGGGAGATGGGAAGTGGGGAGGACAGTCTAATCAGTACGGCTGGGTGCAGAAAGGGAGGAGGTGGCATTTGGATTGGACAACACAGGATAGCAAAAAGGAAGGGAACTCTTAGAAAGGAAACTGCCTTTGTGTAAGGAAACACTTCGATAAGTCACTGAGAGAAGATAATACCTTGAAAGCATAATTATCAAGAGCCAAGGCCACAAAAGAAATTACTAAATGCTGGGAGGAATAAAAACAGGAATTTATTTTTGCTCTGAAGAGGGAGGAGAAGAGGATGGAGGGAAGAACAGAGAAACAAGGAGAGAGAGGAAGAAATGAGAAAGGAGAAGAGGCAGGGAGAAGCGAGGGCAATATTTAACTGTGGGGAGGTGACCTAGGACTTTTAAGAATGGGGAGAAATATCAAGCAATCTAAAGGTATTTGTTTTCTTGTTAGGAGAGCTGAGTTTCACATGAGTCTATACCATGCTTTACAAAACAAGCACACATAAGGTACTGAGACCATTCATCACAATTTGTAATGTGAATTAATTTAGCAGAAGCAGAAACCAGAGGTGACAGTGAGAATATAAACATCTAGAAACTTGCAGAAATCTTGGAGCTGGCTTTAGGTAAAGCAGGAATGGGACTTCAAGTCTGATTTAGCTGTCTTGGGTTGAAAGACTCCATTTCACTTACAGCAACAGATGAGAAAACAGGTCTACTGTGCTAAGTTGTCTAAGTTCACATAATCAGTAAGTAAGACTTAGGCTAGTGTGATTTCCAAAGTCCTCTTGGGAGGCAATACTCATGGTGGCTAAAAGCACAGGTTCTAGAGTCAGACGGTTTAGAATCTGTTGAATAATGTGTCCAAAGCTACTAAAGACCGAGCATCGATATACATGAACATATATAAAAAAAATCAGCCAAGTATTTATTCAATGCCTATTGTACGCTTGACACTGTAAGATGCTACTTGGACCTTGTATGCTTACCACTGAAATAAGGAAGACAAGGATACAACTAGGAAACAAACAAAATGGTACATAATAATGTGCTAAATTACAATGGCATAGGTTAGGTGCTGAGATCAAAAGGGAAGGAATGCTTTAGAAAGGAGGTGGAATAGGCTGCTGGCAGTTATACGATCTTGGGAAATAGTCTCTCTGAGCCTCATTTTCTTCATCTGCAAAACAGAGTTGTTATGAGAGTTTGTAATATTTTATGCACAGTGTCAGATAACATGTCGTGATTAAATATTAGTTATGTATTTTTTTTCCCTGTCACCTGGCTCTTGAAGAATAGTGAAGGCATATGAGTGGGAATGAACATAAATTGTGCTCTGGCTAGAGTACAGATTGTATGTTCTGAGAGAGAATTATGGGAAATTAGACTAGAATAGTGAAGCCAAGTGGAATGGCAAGCGAGGAGGAGGGAGTGTTATGGAAAGTCTTGCCTTGAAGTGATGAGAAACAGGAAACTGGATAATCTTTGAGCAAGCAATGACATAAGAGTATTGTTAAAACTTAATTTTTGGAATGTAGAGAATCAGGAGAAAACTGGGAGCCAGCTAAGGGTCTGTAGTAGCAATCCCACATATGGCCTAGCCTTCTGTTGGTGGGGTGAGTGGACATGAATGACATCTTTAGACTGGGGGAGACAACAAAAACTCTCCTTATGTAGCATAGCCATTTGCCACCCTAATAAAGTCTTTGTGTTTCATTTTAACCCAAGAGGCAAATACTGGGACGAAGGAAATCTCAAAATTCTTCTCAGGAAGAGACATACATGCGCAGATTCAGCCCTTTGAGTACTGTGGTACAGTGAAAAATAGGGCATCTTCTAAACATAGCACTAATTCAGTTCAGAACAACCAGGGCTAGATTGCAGCCCGAGGTTTCACGTGTCAAAGAAATCTACCTGGCCCTCTTAAGATATCCGAGGGCAAGGCATCTTTCTGCAGCTACTTCTAACTTTTCCTTGTCCTGTCCTGGTTTCACCCGAGGGGAGTTTATAAGCCAAAGAAGTCAGTGTGCACTTGGTTTCAGGAATGCAATGACTGTCATGTGATATGGAGGTTTTCCTTAGCCATTGGACATG